TATTATTATTATTATAAGTATTGAGTTACTTTCTAAGAGCACGAATGATGATTTGGTGCATTCATCTTCATTCATCTGGAGTTCTGATGAAGAGTCAGAACAGAAGCGAGGAGACAAAGGACGATGTGGATCTGTTTCCTGAGTTTGAGTTAAACCGGCCTGTCTCGCTGGCATCTCAGTTGCGACGACTCGCTTCTCAGACGTTCCCGCACACCCCTGACAGCTGCCAATCAAAAGGTGGGTGTTGACGCCGTGAGAGCAGAGAGCGAATGCAGACAGGCCGGTTTGAAACCTGCTGTACACTCTCACTCACAATCCAGATCCAGAACCACTTCAGTCTGTCTGACTCTACTGACGATCAGTTGCGATTCCTGCACGTGCCGGTAAAGAATCCACAGCTGAGCTTCATACAGAGGCCGACAGCACCTACATTATGAAAACACAAGCTTTTCAACCGCACCAAGGCCACAACAGAGGACTGAGCGAGAAAGAGGAGACTGACAGAAAATATCCAGCAGAGAACAAAAAGAAGAACATGTGAAAAATCGTTTTCATTCAACAGCAACATCGAACGCTTAGGTTGACGTGGAGCTGGATTATAAAGTCACGTTTATGTTGGCAACAGAACCCTCTGTTCGTACTCTGCGCTCACTTCGTTCGTATTTGTGCACGTCTCCCGAAAGCTTACGGATTCGGACGAAACAGACAAAACAGAGCAGTACCACTGGGAGTCTTGAGGGGGCACTGCAGCCGAAACGACCAGAAGACACGAGGAAGAAATTTGAACGGGGGAAGAACTTTTCGAGGTACAAACAGCAGCTTTTGGATCAAGTTACGTTATCTCAACCTCCTCCACTGTCGCCACGTTGGTCATCGTCAGAGGCTCTCCACTCTGCGCTGCCCTCTAGTGGATGTAAACCTAAACACATGGAAGTATGTGGGCAGTGACATCGTTTGAAAGTCTTTTTGTACGTAAAGGCAGCATGAATGAGCCTCATGGCAGGTTTTCTATCCTCCCACATCATCTCTGACACATCGACTCAACGCTGGCAGAGGTTTGGGGACATACCTGAACAAATAACCAACGAATTTCAGCTTTGTTAATTTTCTGGTTCATTCAAGTTCATATAAAAGTCAGTATAACCCTACCTTGGAGGAGCACCTGTCCGCCCTGGATGTAGAACTGCTGTGGAGCGTCTCCAGGCTGAGCTGCACACTGGAGGACGGTGGCTCCGGGCTGCGAGGAGGCAGAGTCGGCCACCGTCAGGGTCTGAGCCCCCTGAAGGGCCTCGACTCCCGGGCTGCTCAGCTGGATGGCTCCCCCTTGAGTGACTGCGACTGTGGCATCAAAGTTCATATCAAAACTAGAAGTTCATATTAAAACGAGGCTTCAAATGAGAAGGGGTATTTCAGCAAACAGGATTCCAGAAAAATAATTTACTTTGACTAATTCTGTGACTTTGTGCAACATGAAAATCTGAAGGAAAACTCATCTTAAGAGAGAAAATCTCAAGGTCCACTAAGGAGCACTGCAGCAACACATCAAGTAAAAGCTTAAAGTTGTGTTTAAAAAATTCAGCTCGTTTTGCTCCTGGTTGGTAAAAGTGTTTTGAATATGCATCTGTTTAGACTTTAGCTCCTGAGGGACAGTCGCTGAAGCTACTGCGTTCTGTGTGATTTAATATATTTGTCATATTAAACTGACAGAACTGAAGTGGACGTGGTTATAGAGTCCCGTGTCGCTGTCTGTAACAGAGACAACTTTCAGTTTAGTTCCAGCAAATTATACCGGAACAATTAAGGGAATATTTCTGGGGCTGAGGCTGATTCACCCACAGCTAACCTCTGTGTGTGTGTGTGTGTGTGTGTGTGTGTGTGTGTGTACTGACTGTATTGTCCTGAGCTGGTCTGGTAGATGGAGGCTGAGGCTGCGCTCGACACCTCCTCTTCCTCCTCCTCTGTCTCCTCCTCATCGATTTTAGGAACTGCCGGCGAATCGGACGAAAGCTCATTGAGGATTTGTCTGCGGGGGAGAAGA